TAATAATAATAATAATAATAATAATAATAATAATAATAAGTTCAGCATTTACAAAAAGGTCTTGTGTATTGACTTGTTCAATATTTTTTATTTTTCGGATTTGATTTAAAATCTACAAAAATATAGAAAAAAAAACGAGTCTAGTTTCTAAAAATATTTGAAAAGTAAAATCTTTTTGTCTTTAACTTATTGTGTTTTACATATGTTAATGCTAACTATTTAAAAAAATTGTTATGATTCCTCAAAATCATATATATATATATATATATATATATATATATATATATATATATATATATATATATATATATATATATATATATATATATATAATATAAAAAATGCATTTACTAAAAAAATAATTACAACTACCCCTTGTAACGTTTTTTTAATCTAATAAGGATTGGACCTTGGTACGATTTATTTTGAAATATGCTTCAAAAAATTAAGGATTCAAAAAGAAAAAAAGTCGTACATATTGATTATATTGCCAACATAGTAGACAATATATTATTTGGAAATATATAATAAATACACGTTAGAATATAACAAATAAAAAAGAAAAAATAGAGGAAAGAAAAATATATATTAAATAACAAAGGAGAGAGAAAATAGTTATAAAGGAGAGAAAAAAAATATAAATCATATATATTTATGATAACAAGAGAGAGAAAATGGTTACAGAGGAGAGAGAAAAACATAAATCATTAAATAGTTTATTAGATAGCCTCCAAAATTTAAAAAAATTATGAATTTATTGTCTGTAGTGTTGTAGAGTGAAGTGTATAAATAAAAAGCCTTTTCATAGTACCAAAAAAGAGGAGAAAGAATTAGGTTTGACTGAAAGAGTAAGGTAGTCATCGGCTTTGGAAAAGAAAGAGACCGGGAAGATTAGTGATTATAAGAAGGCTTTAATACCATAATATCAATATGTTATTTATATTGCCCCCAAATATACAACGCAAAAGCTACATATGCTCGATACAAGGCCAAAGGCTACTCATATGGGCTATACAAATGGACTATATCACAATTACATACTAATACTAGTACGGTACTATCATGGTCGTCCTAATCATATTTTATTTTGGATCCAGGATGAGGATGAGAGTGAAAAAAGATTCTTAAAAGACATAAATTTTATTAATTTTTTTTATAATAACTTAATAATTGAAAGAAAATTATTTATACTATCTTCTAAATATAACATTTTTTATTATAAAATTATTAATGATATCTTCAAGATCGATCTTGTCTAACGTACAATTAATAAAATTCATAAAAGTTTGTCCCTTTTAAAAAATGAGTGATGAACGGTCGTCCCTATCGTCCACCTTTTAAGACGGGCCGGAGACTTTATATTTTTCCCATAGTTATACATTTTAAAATTGTGAGAAACTAATCGTAGAGATACCAAAAGAGAAACTAATCGTAGAGATACCAAAAGAGCAACTGGTTGGTTAAACAAAAACAGAATACGTGTTTCACTTCTTAATATTGATAAAAAAAAATGGTGATTTCATGAAAATGTTGATTGTCGTAAAATACCTATTTCGTGAAATAATACATTGAATTCAAGTGTCTGTGCATTTGTATAAAATAAGAAATACTTTAATAAGAATCTCACAAATTAAAAAATTTGACGAACTATTTGTGAAAACACGTTCTTTCGGAATAAGTCGAATCACAAAATAAAAGTCATTAGACAATTAGGTTGCGTTTAGTTACGGAAAAACAATTTTCATTTTCTGTTTTTTGTTTTCCCTTTTCGATTTTCATTTTCCGTTTTCATTTTTCATTGAAAATTTTTGAAAACGCGTTTAGTTAAACTTATTCATTTTTCATTTTCAGTTTTAGAAAATTAGAAAACGTGTTTAGATGTGTATTTTTCTATCGGTTTTCATTTTTAGAAAACGGTAGCGGTGGTAGGGTGTGGGTGGGGGCGGTGACGGTAGCGGATCGGCGGCGGCGGTTGTGATGACAGGCGATGGTGGTGGCAGCGATAGTTGTGTCAGTGGTGGTGATGGTGGCGGCAGCGGTGGTGGTGGTGCTAGTGACGGGTTAGTGGTGGTGGTGGTGGTGGTGATGGTAGGTCGGTGATTGTCGTGGTGGTGTTGGGTGGGTGGGGGTGCGAGTGTGTGTTTGTGGGGGTAGGTGTAGGTTTGTGTGTGTGTGTGAGGGGGGGGGGGTGTGTGGGTGGGTATGTATGTGTGTATGTTTGTGGGTGGGTTTGTGTGTGTATGTGTGGGTTGGTGTGTGTGTGTGTGTGCAGGTGTGTGTGTGTGTGTGTGTATGGGTGGGTATGTATGTGTGTGTTTGTGGGTGTGTGTGTGTGTGTGGGTATGTATGTGTATGTGTGTGTGTGAGGGTCGGTGTGTGTGTGGGTATGTATGTATGTATGTATGTGTGTATGTGTGTGTGTGTTTGTGGGTGAGTGGGTATGTATGTGTGTGTGGGTGGGTTGGTGTGTGTGTGTGTGTGTGTGAGAGAGTGGGTATGTATGTGTTTGTGGGTTGGAGTGTGTGTGTGTACGGGTGAGTGGGTGTGTGTGTGGGTGGGTGGGTGGGGGTAGGTAGAGGTGGATGGGGTAGAGTGGGTGTGTGTTTATAAAAAAAATTTGAAATTAGAAAAATGTGGAAAACAATGATTATCAGTTTTCCAAAATTTTACAACTTCTTTGTAATTTTAGAAAACGGAAAATTTTCATTTTCCGTGAAAATTTAGAAAAATAGACGAACTAAACGCGTTTTCAAAATTCTCATTTTTCTTGGAAATTTTTTCCGAAAAACGGCCAATTTTTCCGCAACTAAACGCACCCTTATTGTGTTAAAATCAAGCAAGGTGAAGTAATTTTAGACAAGTGAAATATTTTATACAGAACGGCGTCACTAGAATTCGGCTAAGGGCTTGTTGGGATCTTCCTAGCCTGCTTCTAGTCAAGCCGTAGTTTTAATTGGGCCGATGTGTCTGACAAACTTTTAACGGATTAGATATTTATCCATGAACCCAATAGCTGGTCTGGTCCATAAATTACTCAATCCGTCGAGTGCACATCCAAGCTGGGGAGAAAAAATAAAGATGAAAACCAAAAAAGAATCGGACCGGTTAATACAAAAACCAATTTATTCAAACCCGGATCAGGTTGGTCAAGTTGTACCAGTTTGGGAATATGTACCTTGCAACTAGATTCTTAAAGACATTTCTTGAATATCGTATATATTTAGTTTTAAATTTGTTGTTGATTGTAGGATTTTGAGGTAATCAAGTAGTTTTTTGAGTTCAAAAAATGACAAATTATACGAAAGAAGCTAACTTTTTATAAAAAATTGTTTTTGATACCGTGTTATTATTATTATTATTATTATTTTTTTAACAAATATTATATTAACTTTTAACAAAAGTTCGATGATATGTGTCAGTCTTTGATGACATGACATCAACATGACATGATAAAATAACTTATTATATTTTATGTAATTTTTCTTTACTGTAACATAATAATCAAAATTTATTGAAAGGTTAGACATCTTTTGTGGGTAAGCTTTAGAAAGAAAACAAAATAATAAAATTTAAATCTATATGTTAGGGCATTAATCTCATTTCTATTAGTTGCATTACTATCTTCATCTTGTGGATATTCGTTGATAATTTTTTAATTTTAATTGGCTATGCTCTAGCAATCTCGCATGTAGCTTGTAAATCTATCTACCTTATTTCATTTATGTTTTCAAGTGCAATTGACAAGCCTCTAGTCGGATTGCTCCAATCATAAAGTTTGACTATGCTATTGCTCGTGAGTACTTCAATACTTTTACGTTTTCATGTCCCTCTTTGTTGGGGTTTGATCTTCAAGTTAAAGATGAGCGTTATTGTGCTGCTTCGACGTTTAATTTGTCAAATTGGTTTTATTTGATGTCAATAGAGTTTTATTTCAAATTCTCATCATTGTATAAGAATGTTAATGTGACTTTCTCCATAGACGCACTTGTAGATATGAACAGGTTCTTCTAGTTTGTTGTCCATCAGTTATCATTGGTTTGGTAATTGTATTTTTTTTTTCAAAATAAAAAGTTCTAATTATTTGTTCGTTACGGATTTATTATAGCAATTGATGGCTGGATTTTGTATATTTAAATGGTGGTCACTAGAACTTTGTCTTAATATTCAGCTTGTCACGAACTTCACAACTTGAAACAACACTTATTTCATATAATATTTCATTTTGTCCAATAAGTTTAGGGTATCCATAATACATTGAATTATTTAGAGTTCAATGGTTAGCACACAAAAAACATTCTATAATGCATTGCACTAGCTTAGAGCATCCTACATTAGCATCAAGGATGTGGTAGATTGGAATGCAAACTAATAGCATTGAGATAGGCCAAATTTGTTATGTTGTTTTGCTTCAAAAGTTTGCCAACAAAATGTTTCTAATAAGTCTTGATTATTATGTTAAAATAAGAGAAAATTGCATAAAGAAACAAAGTTTTTTTCCGAAAAATTCGATTTTGACATCTTGAAAGTAATGTCACTAAAAAGTATCTAGTTATCATGTCATACCAATGCCACATCACTAAATACTACAAATCATGATACAATAGCTGACCATTATGTTGACTAATCAAACGGTCAATATTAAAACAAATTAAAAAATGGTATCAAAACTGAATTTTTGTGAAAACTTATAAAAAAGCATTTTTTTTTTAAATTCAATATTTGAAAATTTTTCATAATCCGTTTGGATTTTATCCAAAATTTGTTTCTAACTAATCATTTGAATTTTATTAATATCTGAGAATCTAGAAAAGGGAAAATAACTTATTAAGGTAAGTAACTATTTGGTATGTAAACATCAAAGGTAAAATTGGTTTTTTTGTACTCATTTACTAAAATAATTTGTTGCATAAGTTCAAAAATACCCATTACTACTGACAAACATAGATTTTTGCCGGTTAAATCGATCGAGGTCAACTAAAACGTATTACGTGGATTTGTACATGGCTATTACACCCCTTCCTCAATTAATTACGGTTCGCTGCTCTAAAAACACTTCGATTAACAGTTTAGGAGAAATCAATACAACAAATCGAAGATTAGGGTTGCAATTGACGGTTCGAGTAGAAGTCGACTGTAACATGGCATCCCAACCATCTACAGGTATGTATGCACCTGTAGATTTTCATTATAGGGGGCATTTACACCAAAGTTGTTGGTAAACTTTGACTAGGTAAAAAAACTGTCCGTGAGGTGGATTTTGGTGGATTTACATATAAAGAATTTCTTTTGTGGCTCACAAAATTAACCGAAATAGACTGTGATAATGTCTACTACTGTAATAGAAAGGAAAAGCTTGGCTGAGAGTATTAGAAGAATCTATAGTGATGCTGATTATTGAGAGTTTGTGGAAGTTATTTATAATCTTAGGAGTGTGTTGGATGTGTACATTGATCACCAAAATGAACCAATTCTTGAGTGGCCTGATAATGAAGTGTTAGAAGATGATATAAGTGATGATAATGAGTATGACTTGGATAAAGAATATGATAAGGACTTAGAAATTTCTGATACTACGAAATATGAACATGTATGTGATGAAGAGGTTTATACTTTTAACAAAACTATTGGTGACAAATTTTTGAACAAGCTTCCAGGTGATATAAATGATGATGATGATGCCAACAATGGAAAAGGTATAGAGGCTGGGTTCCCTATCGATGAGGAGAACCAAGAGTAGGATCAAATGGTGCCAGTTGTAGGTATAAAGTTTTCTAACCCAATAGAATTGAAACTATGTCTTATCAATTGTGCAATCAATAATGGGTATGATTTATGGTATGAAAAAATTTACAATCAGATGTTATTGATTACATATGGTAAATTTAAGAAGAATAAGCAAAATAAAGGTTATCCCTTTAGGTTGTGGGCTACCTGGATGTCCTCTGAAAAGTTATTCCATATTAAATCTTTAAATGATAGCTATAATTGTTTAAGAGCCTTTCAGTTTTGGTCCATTGTTACCTATAAATGGATATGAACTCATTTCATGCGTCAGATACTTCACAAACCAAACACGAGTATAAGGAAATTAAAAGCTAAAATCAACAAGAAATTTAATTTAATAGCAAATGTTAGACAATGTTGAAATGATAGGAAGTATGCATTTCAGGAGATAGAGGGTTCTTTAAAAGATCATTATGCCAAAACATGAAGTTATGGGGAAGAGATAAAAAGGACTAACCCTGGATTAATAGTGAAGATGGATGTAGATGTCATGCCTGATGGAACCATTTACATCTCAAAGTTTTATGTATGTTTAAAGGGTTTGAAGGATGAATGGATTAAGGGTTGTAGGAGGGTAATTGGACTAGATCATTGCTTCTTAAAGGGCATATGTAGAGGACAGTTACTTTCTGTTATAGGTAAAGATGCAAACAACCATATATACTCTATTGTTTGAGTTGTGGTTGTAGTGGAAAGTAAAGAAACATGGAAGTGGTTTGTTGACCTTTTGATTGATGACCTTGGAATGGAAGTCAGGCATGGACTAACCTTAATATCATACCAGCACAAAGTAATCAATTTATTTTCTCTCTATCTTAGTACTACTTAATTTCTTTAGGCTTATGTTTTTTTGTCTAATGCTAACAAGGATTACTTGAGGCTACGAAAGAAAGGGTTCCATCAATAGAGCATAGGAAATTAGCTAGGCATATATGTGCTAACTTCATGAAAATATTTTAGGGCCAAAAGTTTAAAACATTTTTTAAGAATGATAGGGCTTGTGATACATATGAAAATCGTGTATCTGAGAGTTTTAACTCAGTCATTGAAGTTGCTAGGAAGAGACCACTAATAACCATTTTAGAAGAAATTCAAATTTATGTGATGAAGAGGTTTTTTAAACTGAATAGCAAGGGATAATCTTGGGAAATAACCATATGTCCTTCCATTCGAATGAAGTTAGCCAACCTTAAGGAACATAAAAGGTAAGTGGTTTAATTTGAATGTCCTTCAATATGCATGTCCTTCAATATGTAAGTCCTTATATGTATGCCATTCATTATGTGTGACAACCCGAAATTTCCATTGTACGAACATTATCTATTCAATAGAAGCTAGTCCAGTTTCTGTAAATTTCAGACTTGTCCGAACAAGTTTGTGTACATTAGGGTTTACGTTTCTGGACGTATCAGGAGAGTGGATGCTCCTGTAATTGTGAAACTTGAACATTTTAAGTTTCACAATGTTATAGTCCGACTTCCGGAATAAAAATATTTTCTGTCAAAATATTCCAGGACTATAAATAGATTTCTGAATTTAATTAATTCATTATTCACAATTCCAATTAGAGAAAAGCCAATTCTCTCTGACGGATCTTCGGGTTTTCATCCCGGATTGTGAGTCTACTTTCCTAAATGTGTTTTAATACTTGTTATATGCTTTATAACATCATTTATATGTCTAAACTGCAAGATCCGAGAGTTTACCGCCCAAGAACGTTCTTGGGGAGTAAACTCCAAAACGGAGCCTAAAGTCTTCCTAGTCCCGATTCCTTGTTAGACAACTTGTTTAGGGGTTAGTGTATAAACATTTGGGACTAAAAAGCAACCAAGAAACACAAGTTATTGGAGTTTACGGCCAAGGAACTTTCTTGGGCCGTAAACCCCTTTTTATGGGTCAAAAATGCCCTAACTTGCCTCCTTGAGCCTAAGGACTTTAACCACTAATGCTTGTGACTATTTTGGACACCAAAACACTTCAAGATCTTAGGGTTTTAGGAGTTTACGGCCAAGGAAAGATCTTGGGCCGTAAACCCCTTTTTCTTGTGTTAAACATGCCACAAACACCCCTAAGGCCTTAGGACCATTTCCCTTGAACACATGGGACTTGAATGGGGATCAAAGGACTTCATAATCACTCCTTAAAAGGAGTTTACGGCCAAGGAACATATCTTGGGCCGTAAACTCCAAGTGATGACCTAAATGTGTGCATCTTGTCCCTATTAGCCTTAGATAAAATCATGGAAGCCATCCTTGATGTGCAAGTGCCTCAAATGAATTAAAATCCATCACCCATAGGAGTTTACGGCCGTAAACTCTAGGGTATATGGACTATAGGCTGTAAACTCCCCTATGGAGCATTCTAGGGCCTTAAACTACTTCATGTATTATTCCAACAAAGCTAGAAGTGTTCTTGGATCAAGATAACACTTTAAAACACCCAAAACCACCATGTGAGGAGTTCACGGCCATAAACCCATGAGTTTACGGCCGTAAACTCCAAAGGGTGGGGTTTGTTGGGTGGTGAACTCTTATGCAAGGCCATTTGATGTTTCAAACCCTTTTGCCTTGTCCCGTATCAACTTAGATGCAACCATTAGGACCTATAACACTTATACAAAGTGTATACATGTTCCTAATTGTGTTAACTTACTTTGTTAAGTTATTATGTGGCTAATTAGTTATATATATGCTTATTATATGATAACTAGGCTCGAACGTGTGAACAAGTCTCCGTTTGACACTTAGCACGGTACCCGATACATCAATTCAATCTACTCACCACAAGTGAGTTTATACCCCTTTAATCAACCTTTGAAATACTTTTAAATGTTTTAAATACTTTATGGGGGGGGGGAATACAAGTCAAATACTTATAGTTATTACATCAATCACATGTGATTGCATTAATCACATGTGATTAATAACTAGAAAACCAATGATTTTATCACTGTCAACTGTTTATCAAACTGTTTCACTTCAAATGTTTTACAAACTCTTTTTACTTATCAAATGCTTTTATTAAACTTTGTTTTATTTCTTATAAATTGCATGCCCATATATGTATATATATATAAGTAATGTTTAAAGGGCTTAGGAAGGCCATCCGCCCTATTTCCTTTTCGCGCACTGAGATGTGGTCTGGTGGGATTTCGGGTGACCATCCGAAGGTCGTTTCAATATTAGTTATATATCATATATACATGTATAGACATAAAAGTACTTCCATATTCATATTTATCAGTACATCAATAGTTAGTTACCATCGGGGTAACACAATACATATACATATACTAGAAACAATACATATACATATACTAGAAACAATACATATACAATGATGCTAGAAACAATACATATACATATACATATACTAGAAACAATACATATACAATGATGCTAGAAACAATACATATACATATACTAGAAACAATACATATACAATGATGCTAGAAACAATACATATACAATGATGCTAGAAACAATACATATACAACTATACTAGAACGCGAAACAGTACATATACATGAATACTTTATTATTGTAATTTAAATTGGAGCATGACTTAACTGTCATGGCTCGAGTTGTAGCCAGAATTCTCTTGAAGGGAGAGCGTGAGTTTGCGTATAGATCTATACTGGATTGACAATCCTACACCTTGGTGCTAGCTACAGCCGGACCTGCAGGTCTGCGGGTGCCAAACGTCATTCCGTTATTACGACCATTCATTTGTCGTTGTTACTAGTCGATAGTATGGTGCAATTTATCACGTAATGCCTTCATATAAATCCGGTTTAAGGTAGTTCGTACAATAGTAGTTTTTATAATACAAGGCTACAGTACCACAATAATTTACCCATTACATATTTTTAGTGATAACCTCACTTAAACGTTTATGTACAAACTATATTTTGTTAAATGATAGTTACATTTGGGAAATTACACACTTTTACATCAAACGAGCATACAAAATAGTTAAGCCTTGGTAGAAGGCTACTTTAATAGAAAATATAGGTTTTTCTGAGAGATTCAAACTTTTACAAACAATTGCAAATCGTTACATACATTTTACAAACTTATACTTTATACATGTTCAAACATTTTTGGATGACAAATACCGACACTAAAATACTTATGAACTCACCAGCTTAATGCTGATAAACTCTTTCAAAATAACTTGTATTCTCAGGTCATCAGTAGACAGGTACCGAGGCCAGCTTTTGAGAAGATGGAGTGCATTCAAGACTCATCTTATTATTTTGATATACGTTATTTTTGGTGTCTATAATGTACAGAACACGCTTGTATTAAAATTATATATTTAATGCAATGGATGATGTTGTTTGCTTATTTACATTTACTGTGTTGTGATACTTACATGACGTCCTCCGCCCCAGAACGTTTCCGCCGTTCTTGGTTTTGGGGTGTGACAGATTGGTATCAGAGCATTGTTTATAGTGAATCAAGTGTATCAACCCATAAAAGATATACTAAACTATAAACCCAGTTGGGATTAAAACACTCTGACCAAGAGTCTATACTTAAAATACTAAAATATTTAATTAAGTATACTAGTCTACATTCATACTAAAACCAGTGTCACAACGACAAGAACAAAAGTATTACGATTGTTAAATATCACAGGTAAGCTCGGGGATATATGGTCAGTCCTGGGAATGGCATAGCCTGATCAACTATGCTGGTCCGAGGAGTGATTAGCATATGCCCTAGAATGGTTGTGATGTGTTAACAAGTCTAAAAACTTACCAACAATACCACAAGAAGATTCAATAGAACCTAAACTTAAAATACTATAGGTGTATTTTGTACTACCAACTACTTGTATACTATATCTTTATACCTCTCTTCTCGCGTAGATTTAAATGGCTGGATTCCATCACGGCGACCCGTACTTTCCAAATGAAGGCAATGCAGGATGGCTCGAAGCAGAGTC